ATATTCATTGATTATTCAATACATTTATGATGCAAAAGATTTTTTTTTAAACATTATTTATCTAAATTAATCATGTTTTAATGTAATTTGATAAATTATATCTGTGTACATAGAAAGTAAACGTTTATGAWTTTTTTTTATAGTTGAATTATTAATTGTTTATTCTTACAATTCATACAATACTTAATGCAMAATAAAATGAATAAATATGTTGAGTAACATAATATGTATAAATGGTGACATGGGAATAAGTAGGGAAACCACTCAACAACAGCACTTCCTTTTCTGTAGCGTGACGGACTCAATTTGGAAAGCCATTTTTTAGGTAATAGCGTCCTTTTTTCAGTGTTCTCGATAAATAATATGGAATGATTGATTACATACAGGAGCTTAGGGGTTCTTAGTTCGGATAAAGTTTAGAATGGAATTTTGTTGCTATATGTTTAGTTGCTATACTATTTCATTTACTTTTGGGATTTGTAAATCCTTATGTAGTGCATTGTTGGTCATAAACGACGGTACGACGTGACTTCGGTTATTTGTCTAACATCATCTATCAACTATAATTTGTGTATTGGTCTCATATTGTAGCCTATAGCGTATAGATTAAGTTTTAAATTAAAAATATATTTTGGCCAAAAGTCAGTACTTAAGTCAGTGTAAAACTGTGTACTTACTTATATAATATTATAGAATAATTTAACATAAAAATGAATATAGAGCACACTGTATTATATAGGGTGAAAAAAAAATGTACATTGTAATCAAGTTAAACAATTCGAGTTACCAGTTATATTTTAATTCTATCTCTGTCTTTTAGTATAACATACCACCGTATATTGTAGTACAACTTTAATGATTATTAAATGTTCAATAATAAATGAGGTACCCTTTTAAAAATTTTTGTTCTATATTTTATTAATTATATTAATATATCTTATATTTTTTTTTAAATCTTCTGTATAATAATTATATTGATAGACAACAGTATGCCATTGTATTTCATTCAATTATAATTAAGCGAACAAAAAATACAATTAGGAACCAATAATCATATAGGTACACTATATCATATAGATATATGAAAGTAAAAGAAATTATATATTTGTTTGGCTGGTTAGGAATATCGTTTCGTGTCCCTGTTAGCACATCTAGCTACGTATTATAGTGTAACGAAATGGTAAATTCATTATATTTATTCTTATTGGTGTTGGTTTAAACTTATATTTTCAGTAGGTATAATATTTATAAACATTTTAAAATATTAATAGAAATCTTTCTATTTATAAAAATATTTATCAACTATATTTAATTATATATTAATTATAAATTCTTAAATGGGATAATGAAATATGTAATATATTATATTCTGTACGGCTTATTATATAACTTAATATTTAATATATATTTCAGGAAATGAAAGAAGCATGCAAGGTAAGAATATTTTTAAATTATAATTTTACTCATGTTATTACTACACATTAAAAAATTAGCAATTAAAAATAATATAAATGTCTTCAATAYATAAAACTCGGGTACGGAAATTTAAATTTTACAACTTTTTGGGAAAATAATTTCTGGTATATTTGTTGTCATAGTTACGTATTTTGAAAGGTCTAAAAGTGATCAACATTTTCACTTTACTTTAAATATAATTATAGTTCCAGTGCTCGAAATGGAAGATTTTACTAATTGGAACGCTTATRCAATGCCTCACGCGATTATGGGAGTAGTAATTTAGATCAATTTTTTTTAAAATTTATGCTTATGAAATATAAATACTTATAAAAATATGTTAAGCTAAAAAATAGAATTTAATAATAATTTCCTAGATGCTTTGTAATTTTTACAATTTTATTTTACGTTTGCGACTTGCAGTTAATTGTAGCGTAAATACTGAAGTGCCGCAGACTTGAGCCTCCCTCCAAAATATCAAATATCAAAATATCAAAATATCAAATTGGAATTTTTTTGCTAGCCATTACATTTTTGAGAAAGTAAAAATGCTCCAATTTTCTACTTTAGTAATATTTTGAAAAATGAATCTCATTGGTGCTTTAAAGAAGTCGAATTCGAAAATTGTGTATGTTGTAAAAAACGTCGGGAAAACCAAATTTTAATTTTAAAAAGCAGATAATAGGGTAACGGTAACGCTATGCTTACATTAATAATAGTTCAAGGGTCATTGTAATGGTTGCGTTAAATTTAAATTCAATAATCATTGTATGCGAAAAACGATTCTGAGCGAAGAAAGTCTTTCAGCCAATAATATTATTAAGTAAATTTTTCGACATTATTGTGATTGAATTAATTAACTTTTACAAATATATATAGGCAATAATGCTAAAATAGGTTAATTTAATTATCGTCCCAAAGAAATTGCATTAAAAATGTCATTGTGTGTAGACTGTTTACAACATAACAATGTATTCTAAAAATTTCAATTAACCACGTGTAATATTTTTAAATTATAACAAATTAACTAAAATCGTTATTTTTGGTTTTAATATAAAGTTGAGCCTAAATCCACAATGATTTGTTTTGATTGTCTAGAGTTAAAATTATAAAGTTATTTTTCAGTTACAAATTAATAAAAATTTTATTTCATAGCTTTAATATTTAAAAAATTAGTGAAAGATCCCCATAAGTTTTCTATCTTAAACAAAAAAAATGTTTACCGGAAAGTAACTTGAGTTTCTCAACTTAGTATTTAAACTTTATAATAATTAAGCATTTGAGTTAAACATTTTTACGATATTGGATGTTTTTATTTAATCAACGTTTTTGTTATCAAATTGCCGTCAACCGAYTTTTGATATTTTTTTGTAATTAAAATTCGAATTGTGTATTCACCATAGACATATAATACAATCTATTATATGTCTATGGTATTCACAATACGTATTAACATTGTATATTTACATATGAAATTTTAACATTTTAACCAACCAGAACGTCGTTTCCGTACGCGTCAATCCATTTCGAGCACTAATTAGATCAAACACCTATTATGATTTAAATAAAATATAGTGTACACACATTTTCATTATTTTTAAAAGGTGTACGTAAAATACGAATCGAAAACAGTTTTAATTTTGGTATAGATAATTGAATATCATGACAGCYGTGGTAGATGTAATATAAATTGTAGGTATCACATTATCTAATAAACATTTTTACTTATGTTTTGATAAAACTTGATAATATTTTAGATACAATTTCAAATTCATATTCGTTTATACATTTTCAGGTTTTCAAATTTTTTTAAAAATAATTGAATTAACTGTTTAGGAATTAATATAATTTTTTATAATAGCTTAAAATTTGATGAACTGAAATAAATTACCTACCAATTAATTTTTGGCAGATTTATTTTGAAAAAAACTGTAGTCGTTTTATGTATTAAGAAGTTTAAAATTTAAATACTTAGATAATCATGAGGTTTTCTCACCAATTATATTTTATACATATTATAATTAATTTTTTAATTTTTTAATTGTCTAATTTGTTTTAATTATTTTGACTCTTAGACTTTTGAACGGTTATTAGTACTAGACTCCCAAATTGACTTGCCACAAAAGCTAAAAGACGAAATTAAATTATTACCCAGATGGAATATTATTCAAGCTTCATTCCCACATATACTTCATTCTACAGCAGCTATTCTTCAAAACAGGTACTTAATTTAAAATTTGCGTTTTATTTTTTCCTATATTATAGATTATCATGATTTATTAAAAAACCAATTAAATTATTTTCATTTATGATATTTATAAAATATTAATACTTGAATGTAATTCTATGCTTTGTAGCTTAATAAAATGTTATTTTATATAAATATCATGATATATATATATATTATTTTTAGTTTTTCTAAGCTGTTAATTGTAATGAGGACATTTCAAAAACTGAACAAATCTCATTCGTTCCAATTTTAAAATAAAATTGTCTAATTAATTTCGACGATGCTTTATGAATTTTTATACATGATTTCATTTAAATTTAAATGGCCGACATTGTAATTGTATGCCTATCCAACAAGTGAAATCTTATAAAAGTTCTATTGATAAAAATAAAAGTTCCCACATATTGTTGTATAGGTTATCATAAKAGTTATTGACATTGTACATTACATTTAAGTTACTTAAGCCAAATATTTTTTTTATTTATTTATTTTTTTTTGTAGAAAACCTTATTTATTATTTAATTGTTAAAATAATAATATAAATTATATTATAATAATCAGTATAATTACTAAATTACATTGATCAAATGGGATAAGAGATGGATTTATTTAAATTTAGAACTTTGACGGACGTGAGCAAGAAAACCAATAGCAATATATGTAAAAAAAATATGTTTAAAATTTTTAAATAATGTTGGTTGTAACTACCTATATTATTTTAACTATAAGATTTTTTTATTATAAAATCATTTCGTCTTATGACCATTTTATTTTACGTCCTCTCGAAGAAATTTCCTAGGATTGCGTATRACAACTTACGGGATATTAATGGATGTTCATTAGAACGGAGTTTTGCATTTAATCTTTTGTATTTTTGAAGGCTAGTTTAGTGACGGCTGGGATTAGTAAATACTAGAGTAATGCATTATTGTTATTTGTGAGCACAGACATACCTCTAATACAACTTGATGGTGGATTTCATATTATGCTTCCATAGGAACGTTGAAGTCATGCTGACATGTTGTCGTAATGTCATGTGGATATGTTAACAAAATAATTCAATAGATAAAAGAGAGATTGATCTATACTAATCAATCATATTTACGTACCTATAAGATATACATRTTTGTTACACACATATATATGTATATTATCAATCATGACATTTTATAAATATCCTCATGTTGGCATATGGCTTCCTACTTTGACATTATTTTATAGTCAGCTATCTTGTTGTTTTATACTCCTATTGTATACTTAATTTTTAGTCAAACACCACGTGTCGCGACTTCAGGTTATTTTTTGCAGACAAATTGATCGAAAAGCTCGCATTAGTTTTTCACTGAAGGGCGAACCTAATGAACCATTTAAATATTAAAACCATTTCACTGCTACACTATTTATGTTATGTAATCTAGCTGTGCTATATAAAATTAAATATTTTTTATTTTTCATATTTCTGAATCAATATATTAAACGAAAATGTATAGGCAGTTAAAAAATGTTTCAGACCAAAATTGACTTATTTATTTTAGTTTAAAATTATGCGAAATAGGGTTTCYTATATAATTATTGTCCATATTGATAACCGAACAATATAGGTACAATCGTGTCATTTTGGTTATCACTAATCACTATAAATAATAATAATTTGTGATTTATATCAACGGATATGAAGATAAAAACACAGATTTTGTACCGTTATAATTGTTTCATGGATTGAAATTATTAAAGATGTGATTTRAAATTTGAATTTTAGATCACACCATTGCATTACAACATCGAATAGTTAGGTTTCATTTATTAAATTTTGAATTTTGAGAGATTTATTTTGTGATTTGAGATTTTCCGTGTAATATGAATCCCCAACAAAAACCTAACGGTGAAAAAAGGCCAAGTTCCAAAAACTCGAACTATAAAAGTAGTGAAATCTGCATTGTGACCAAGTCTGCTATTTTTTAATTCATAACCTCATTGCACTCTTATATTAAAGAGYAACAATCCACTTTTATTTGTATAGTTTAACACTTGGCCAGTTTCTGGATGCGGCATAAACTATACTTGACCACAATGTAGATACTACTACTATGATTCGTTGCCTTTTTTGAGAAAAAATCTAAACTTTTTTCTTTTTTCTGAGTTCTTTTCTCCCCATCACCCACGTAAGTCATATAAGGGAGCAATTCGATAATGATGTTGTATGCTTCATTCAGAAACTGGTTTAGGTAAAATATTTGATTAATATTAGTTAGGTATCTTCTAAAAAGTATATATCGACAATTCACTAAAAAGTTGATCTATAATTATATATTTGTTTAGAAAAGGAACAAACATACAATACATTGGGCCAATAGAGTCAAAATTATTACTCATTCTACATTGGATAATTCAGGATGCACCTGATGAATGTGCGGATTCTGATTACGAAAAAGGAACGTTCCAAACTTTACCTCATTATTACCTTTTTAATATCCCTACTATGACGGTAAATATTATTTATACATTTTTAATTTTAATACACTTTTGTTTTTTTATTTTAGAGCTTCTCAGTATAAACTATTTTAGTTCGAAAATGTATTATCTACTTTTAAATTATATGATTTATACAATTAAAAATTTTTTCTAGTTATTCATCTATTTGATTGCACCACTAATAAATCAACTAAAAGAATCAGATTTAATAACTAATGGATTAGACAGTGGATTGAAAATGTGGCAAGCGTTTTGGGACAATCGCACACCTAATATTCCATGTTTTTCGGCACACTGTAAACCAAAACCTAAATCCCTATGGTATAACCTTAAACGACTGTCACAAGGTATTTTCATATATATTTTATCATTCGATAAAAATATAACATTAATAATTTTAATGTCATAAAACTTACATGTTAATTAATTCTAGAGAAATTAAGGAATCAAGAATATAATAGTCGTACAATATCAGCATCTGTTAGCTCACCTCATAATATAAATCATAACGAATACTGCCAAAGCAAATCACTTGATGATGAGGTAACTTAATTTATTTAATTATTTCTGTATAATTTTACTATGTGTGTCTTATTCATTCATTTTTTTATATTGGGGTGTTTTAATACAATTTATCCATATATTATCAGTACCTAATCAATAAATATTTAATTAAAATATCAACTGATTATAGTGAAGGTTATTATTTTAAATTTTGAATGCATAAACATGGTAAATATTAATAAAATTAATAATATAATTATTACCTTTATTACTTATATGTAGATGTGGATAACATCTCCAAAAGAAAAATGTTTCCCAGAAACTATACCTGAAGAAAGTTCAAGCACGGAAGACGAACAAGTTGTAAGTTAAAATTAATACACTATRTGTTTACTATTACTGTTTACTATTACTATTACTGTTATTTTATAAACTTACATTTTAGGTAATTTTTCACATACCTCCATATGAAGAATATAATATCAATAATGCAGACAATATACAGAACAATTACCAAGTATGAAAGTGGAATAGAAAAGTATTATTTAATCGGTTAATAATTCTATTTTACTAGGGTAAACCAAGTATATTTCAATTGCCAGTTGGAAAATCGGATTCTATTTATACTTATGAAGATTTGGCAGCAATAACTCTACCAGAAATGAAGCAATTACAAAAAAAGATAAGAATAGGGTAAATGTTATTTTTCTCTATTTTGCTCTTCTCTCTCTCCCATAGTCTCAATCATAGATACACAAGTGTTAGGTATATATGTTATATAAATATATAAATAATATTTACTCTATAATTTTACTTTATAAATCAGTAAACATATTTAGCAAATATTTAAATAACAATTTTAATATTTTTCATCGAAAATAGTGATAGAGATGCTAATTAAAATATTACTTTAATTCAACAATCATAAAAATCTAAATTTACGTACGGTCATTATTGATATTTAATAAAATAATATCTGTTAATAATATTGTAATTATTTATAAATATATTCTTTCTTAAATTCAAATACAAATTTTAATCAAAAATATAGATATAGATATTAGATATATTATCAAATAAAAACACCCAGTAATTAGGCAACAGATTGTTTTTGCACAAACTCGTTTTTTGAATATTAAAATTAAAGAATTAGATGCTATGAAATATTTTGATTTGATTTTAYATYAAGAACACACAGGGTAGGTGAAATGTATAAAATACCTACGACACAATAAATTGTGCCTATATATAGACATTTTAGTTGGATTTTCCATTATAAATTAAAATTATGCATACTTATATTTGATCATTATATTTTAAATTGTAGAAATTCAAAAAAAAAAATTGGAGGTTCAAGCAATTTTAAAAGTTCAAGTTTCTTAACAGAAGATTCTATTTCTGTTGACTTGAATGCTGCCACGTTTTTAGATGTTGCAGTATTAAGATGTTTATTTGTTCCTCAATGGTGTGAAGAAGGTGTTTTCTGGTCTCTTCAATTCTTATACCATAGGTTTGTACTGTAGTAATTATAAATGATTCTAATATCAATATTCAGTAATTTAAATTTAATTAAAATTTAAAAATAATCCTAAAATATAWATCGAATATATATCCGCTTAATTTATTAAATTAATCTAAATTAACTGTATTATGAATAATAGCATTTATCGGAACCTACCTATATAAAGATTGTTTTTATGTAGGTACCAAACTGATTTTAGTTATTTATTATGCATATGTATGATAAAAAGAATTAAGATTTTTTATTTTAGKGTTCTTTACCGCCACGGTGTATTAATGAGTTTGGCATTGATAATTTAATCTTCAAATAAAATAAATAAGGATGTATTGATCTTGTTGTGTTAGTCATAAGTGTGAGTGAAAATTATAATTTTAGTTATAGGTATGTATCCTAGCTAGTATTGAATATGTATTAGAGATACATAAATTCAATTTTAATATGATACACTGGACGATTTCCTATAGTTCTTTGACCGTTCATACTATTCGCAAAACTAGAATACACTAAAGTCGTATAGTGTGACAATTCTGAAATCAGTTTTAAATTGACACAAAAAGTATTATTTTGAATAAAATATCAGATCATATAAAATTGAACCACGTTATCTAACTTAATCTTGTTTAACTTTAATTAAGTCTTATAGATTGAAAGTGTCCAAAGTAGAGTGGCCTCTCATGGGTTATGATTTCGAGCAAAGTATGGGTGTCATCTATTGATTTTAATATCATATATCATGATTTATGTTTTTGTGTTTGAAAATCAATATTCATTTTAAGCTATATCCACATTGACATAGTACGTTATTATTAATCAATTTTATAGACAATTCTATACTAACAAAGGCGTGCATTGATGCTTTATGTTCTCATACAGTGTTTAATAAATCTTATTTATTTATTTTATTCTTGTTTTATGCAATTGCGAGGTAAAAACCAGATAATTCCGAGCGATATTTACATTCATAAYTATAAAACTTTAAAAATGAATTTTTCTTTATTATTAACATTTTCTTTTCATGTTTAAAAAGTATAATATTATCGTAAATAGTACMTATCGGAATAAAAACGTACTAATTGAATAGAAAATATACATAATATATTATATTTCTATGATTCATTATTAGTTTGGTACTATAAATAATAATACCAGCAATTTGGTTGTTTATTATAATAAGTGTTGAAAACTTAAAATTTAAATGTAATAAAGGTACCTATCTTTTATTATTTATATACAAATATTTAGAATAAGAGATAACTATTTTTACCATATTCGAAATTTATTGTTGTTTAAAAACCTTATTCTAAAGAGTTTAAAGTAAATTTTGGTACTTAGTAAATTAACATTATAGGCATTCCATTTGGGTACTTACCTTTTACACGCAATATTATACGAAAGACAGATTAAGTTATTTAATTGATAGCTTCAAAATCTAATATTCTACTTAAACGTGCGCATGCGATTTCTGGTATAATAGATTGCAGAGCATTAATGAAAATATAAAAATTAAACAAGAACCTCGAAGACGAAGTAATTCATTGCCAATACCAAAAATTGAGGTATCATTTCATCACGAACCAGATTTTCGAGGTAGAATCGTAAAACCAAATTATTCGAACATATTTGATGCAGGCGATAATTCACCTGGTATGCATATTTAAAAATATCTTGTTTTAAAATAAATATTGATGAATTTATCTACACATCCAACGTATAACATTAATATGCAATGCTTTTGGGTTATAATTTTAACAGAAATTATCAAAGATAGAAAAAGAACATTTTTTGAAGATCGAGATGTAACTAACCTTCATTCAAGACATGCCAGCGAACGAATTAAGAAAAAGAAAAAAATCGTTGACTTAAAAGCATTTGCAGTTGGACGTAAACTTTTGTCAAAATCAGAAAAAAATTTACAAAAAATAGATTACATAAATGACGTGATGATGCTTGAGCCAGTAATTACCAATATATTTTAAACAGTATTTTTTAATTAAAATATTCAATAAAACATATTTATACTTTTTCTACAGTGTCATGGCTTTGCAAATGAAGAACTACCAAACCCTTTAATTAAAAAACTAGAATTTTTATTTCAAAACAACAAAACCGGATTTCTCAACAGAGGAAAAAGTCTTCCAAGTCTTAGGTACCTATCACAATTCTATAATATGTATGATACTATAATGTTTATATCTAATACAAATACATACATTTTTCTTTCAGGGTAAATGATATAAAGCATGTAAAAAGTTTCCTAAATCCAATTATCACAATTACGGAACACTCTGGTATAACTTCCCCAGATATAAATTTCTACAAGGTAAGTTTGTTTTGAATTCATATTATATTTGTTGGTACTTTGTTTGCATAATATTTTTTATAAAAGCTGATTATAATATTTTAGGCAAAATTGTTTGATGAATTTCAATTTGACAATGTATTTCCACAAGGACAAAAACTATCTAAAGAATTTCGTCAGTCAAATTTAACAAGATCTCAAACTGATTCAAATATAACATATATTAGCGAAGAAGTAGCAGAAGTTCCAGGATCGTTAAATTACATTACAAAAGATGGAGATGTTGATTTTGAAGTTGTACTAAGAGTATGATCGTATACGTATATATAATATATATATATATTATTTATGTTTCTAAATATTTACAACATTTTTGATTTTTTTTTTCAGGCTATCCATTTTTCAGTATATCAAGTAAACACATGTAAAACATTCAGGGTATGCGAAGTTGTTATTAATTTACTAGAAGTACTATTAGACTTAGGGATATTGAATCAATCGTGGCATGGAGATGTTTCTAAAGTTCCCAATACTAGTTTACATAATATTAGTCCGGAGTATTTGGCGCATTTGTCGTACACTAAACCAATGTCAGCACATGCACTTGTCATGAGCTCCATTATAAAGTAAGTGTTTCTGTAATTTTTTTGAATGTTGAATAAAATTAATAATAGTTACATTTCTTAATTCAAATAAATTTACAGGATAATTCAAAATTTAGGATGTCCCCATAGTTGCGGTGAAGGACATAGAGGACCGCCTGCAAATTTTGTACGAACTCAATGTCAATGTTTACTAAATCGTCTAAAGCAATATGACAAACGACAATTTTCAAACTATTTAAGACATTTTATTAAAAACAACTCGCTTACTTTCATAATTAATTTTATTCATTCATACATTGGATTCTGTACTGAACCAATGCAAATGTTCTCACCCATGTGTAAGTATAAATACATCAAAATCAATTTTATCAGTATTTATTTAATTTGCTTTACATATTTTTATATTTTTTATAGACAACAAAAGAAAGTCGCTTGATACGATATCACAGATGAGTGGATCTCCGTCAGGATATGGACCATCGATATGTAGTAAAGGAAACGAATATCACGTTATAAGTGTTTTATTTAGAAGTCTGATTACTAGGGTTGTTGTGTCTTATAAAGAACTAAAACATCCTGAAAATGCTGTAAGCATAAAATATGATACGCTTTACAGTAGTACGATAATAATATTTAAATTAGTCATAAATTAATTTTAAGTAAWATTAAGTATAAATATATTTAATACTAATAATAACCTAACATTTTAATAGGATATTTATAATACTTTAAGATTTCTTATCAGTTACGTCAAAGACACTCATTCATCTATATTTAGACGCGTAATGTTGAGTGGATTATTAGATACAGCTAATCAGAACAATGCAAAACAATGCAATATTCAGACTACACGTGTAATTAGGTAATCTTGGAAAATGAAATTTCTTTAATGAAGAGTTTAAATAAATGTTTAATCAAATGCGTATTGTTCAAGGCATATACCTATTCATGATCATGACGAGCATTCAAAATCTATTACAGAACCTTTTGTACTGGACAGAACAAATAGAAAGCTTTTATTTAAAAAAAGAAATACAATAGCTAGTTATTCAGTTAAGACTCATTGTTTTTTAATCTATCATTTTCAAATGTCAGGAAATCTCTAAATGTACTTTTTTTGTTTGTTTAGAATGCTTTTGAAAATCAAATTTGTGATGATATTAGGAATCAAATGTCATCAGTTAGTTTGAAGAGAAGAAAAAATCCAATGCTAGTTTCAAAACCCAGTGAAGGAAGTATGCAATGTTCTAAAAAATCATATACAAATCGTTTACAAATCAAAGAAATAGGTTTGTTGAACAATTATTTTTATATTAATACTTTTAATGGTAATATATAATTAGATTATACTTATTATTATAAATATAGATTTAAGAAATTTAAATATTTTTAATAAATTTAGATTTACAATTTGATGAAATATTTCTAATAATATTTCTTTGCTATAATTTTTGTTACTAGTTAATTGGATTAGTTCAAAGTCAAGCGTACATGAGTGCCGTGGAAGASCCCAAGGCTTGAGTTCATCTTATGACTCCTCTTCGGATGTAGGGTCACTTGTACGACAAGCAGCAAATTTACATCAATCTTATTGCAGGGGTTCTAAAAAGAATAGAAATGGGTAAATTCATTTAATATAGATAGAAAATAAAATAAATTAATAAATAAATTAAAATATGTAAAATTATATAAACATTGTAGGATGTCTCAAACGTTTAAGAAAACTAAAAAACGAATGGGCCACCATTTAAATAAGTATGTTTTTCGAAAAGGAAGAAAAAAGGATAAGAGTACTGAAGATTCTCAAGGAAGCTGTAAATTTGCTATTTTTAAGTATTCTCTATCTTACTACATATATTCATGATTTTTTTTAGATTTAAGTCGCCGAGACTCTTTAGACGACGGAGATCATCCTCATCAGTCAGAATTCGTTGTTTTAAAGGAAAGAAAATTAGTGCAAATCAAACAGCTAAGGGCTGGAATTCAGCGATTTTCAATAATGCTGGAAATGTGTGGTCCAGGATCTGTACCAGATGCAAATTTCATATCTGCAGCATTTGATTTGGTATATTTATATATATATATATATATATACATAAACTTAACTAGATTTGAAATTCTATGCACAAAATTTCTATAGCCAAACACGCCAATTTTGGCAAGGGCAGTTTTTCTTTTGGAATGTTGTCATTTTGTCCATGGCTGTAATAAAGGTCAATGGTCTACTTGGATGCGAATGGTGAGACCTTCTGGTTTAAATTTGAAACAATCAGTGATTTCTGGACCCAAGAAGTCCATTGTTATCCAACATAACGCTGGAAAACTTTTTCGTCAATGGGGAGAAGTAAATATATATTAATACATAGTATTTTTACTAATAGTGATGTATAGAGGATTTATTCCTTTTTCACCAATATGCCAGCGATTTATTAAGAATTAATAAATAATATTATAATTAAATTTCAACTGAAAATACAGAGGATAAAATAAAAATATGTTTAGAGATACATATTTGGGATTATCATATAGTTATATACAAAGTAGTTATTCTAAAAAGATGACAAGTGTCAAAATAATAATAAATTATATTCGTATTTTGAAATAAACAATACATTTATTACATATTGTATATTTTATACATATTTAAAAAATTTTATTTATGCATATTACCCTACGTGAATGAATTAAATATCTTTAGATAAATAAAAACATAAATATAATACCATAAATTAGAGTAGATTAAATTAGTGCCAGATTAACCATTACAGGAGCAAGAATATATGATTTCACTTGAAAAATTATGCAGATCATATTATATTTGTTCAGTAATAACTGGGTATAATTTTTAAGCTTATTAGCTGAAATATTTTACATATTTTATCAACAATTAAAGAAAAATTCTAATAATATACCTATATTTAATTGTATAAATGGATTAAAATTAGTCATAATATTTTGAATAATTCAATATGTATAATGAAGTTATAAATAATAGAAGTTTAAGTAACAGTGAATTTTCAATTTTCACGATTAATATTTCTTGTATAACAACAAAATAATAAAAAAATGTTAGTTAAAATATTATCATACATTAAAATATTCAATGTTATTAAAATTTGAACTTTAATCACAGACTAAAAATGTATGGCTTTACCTAAAATTTTTTTATATAATTTCCTGTACACAAATCTTAAAAGGAATCTTATAATACTTTTGAAATCTTAGGTCCTTAAGTGTTAACCTAAAATTAAAAATTATATGAAGTTTTAATTTTTAAATAATTTGCATATTTATAAGTGCGTTATTATGTTATTTATTTTGTCATATAGATTATTGCCGCACGTTTGGATGAAATGATTTCTAATGATAAAAAGCAATTACCWCACATCTTATCGTGTATTGCTGACGAAGCTAATCAACGGGAGTTACAAACTATAGACGAAGAAGAAGACTTTTTAGATGAAAGTAAGATAATTTTAATATTAATTTTTTTTAAAACATACTTTAAAAATCTATTATTTATGTATTAGCATCTGGAATTTCTCGGGTATTCAGTTGTCCGATGGTCTTACGGTTAATTGCATGTATGTTATTTTTGGAAATAACCTCCTATCTACGGGAGACTTATAGAAGTTTACCAAAAACTCGTCAATCGAATCCTTACACAACATTACCGGTCACATCAAATGCATGGGAAAGGGAAAGACAATCTCATAGTAGAGAAGGACGACGTTGGTCAATGGCTTTATCGTCGATGGGTCATTCACAAGCTTCTGCTCAAAGTTTGCAATCGATTTCGGGTGAAAAGGATCAAGGTATATTTCACTTATTTACTTTAAATGTATTAATAGTTTTATTCATTACAGGTTCTACGTGTTAAGAAATAAAATGTACTTTTTATTCCAGTAATAATCTCATAAAGTATGACAATTACTATTGAATGGCATTATAATAATACTAATATACCCAAATACCGATTATTGAATTCAATAATCCAAGTTACATGTTTGAAATTAGCTTTCGTAGTTATACATTTGTTAAGAAAAAAACTTGAGTGTGAACAAATAATGTATCTTTGGCAAAATTGAATGCTTGTTTAATGAATGGATGTCATTACTGTTGTATCGCAGAGATGGAGAAAAGTGGAAATGAGCTTTTACAGAGTCATTTAAAACCAGAAGAGGAAGTTGGTCGAAAAAGTAGCGTCATTGTTGCTACAAATGTGTTGACCAAACTTCGCAGACACGCTAAACTAATAAAAGAAAAGCGCGGTATGAGCTTCAAACAGTGTTACTGACCAATAATATTGCACTATATATATATAAAAAAATAAATAGTTTGCATGGAATATAGTCCGAAAATAATTGTTACTGATGCTTTTATCAAATTAATTTGTGTTGACATTTATTTGATTTGTTTGCCTTGCGCCTTGTGACAGACTGATTTTGCTTTGCATTYCTGATAAAAATTTATCGATAGCAGTTAGAGCAGTCATGCTTATTTACTAAACTATTTATAAGTTTTACATTTCACTAAAGATATTTTACATTTCAATCTATACTATCATAACAATTACTTTTCTTCAAGGAGCAGCACTCGTATATTTTATTAATTGATATAATATAGGAACTAACCTAATTACAAAATATAAGTAGGTATTTAAACAAATATTTACCTAATTTAAATAACGTATACCTCCATCGTAMATTTAATTTATAATTTTAATAGATTAGACGATCGATAAAAAGTAAAAACKGTATATGTTATGTWAAGCATTCCCTAAAGTAATATGAATAGGTACCTATATTTATGAACAATACTACTGTCAGTATGGATACATAAATAACTAAAAACTTACTTTTATACTGATTTTTATTTTAAAATCATAATATCCTATAACATACTTACTTAATTTTTTTGTATGAACACATGAATGTATATAAAAAAGATGTAAATTATTACCGGGTTACACAAAAAAGTGATTAATTTAGTAGTTAATTTATATAATATTTAAATCAAGAAACATTGGTTCATCAAATTTTTAGTGGACTTTGATACAATCCCACTTAGACTGTGTAATGTATAATGTGAAATGTACTGTGTACTCATAATTGTGTCGCATCTGTAAATATATTTGTTATATGAGTCACCATTTAGTCTGTAATATGTATATATTATGTTATATTATAATAATTATTTAAATTCTAACATTAGTTTTTGCACTTTATTTACATATGAAATTTCCTAAACTGAAAAAGGTTAAAATTTTAGGTTGTTTTATCAAAACATCAAACATATTAAACATAAGTACCAAGTACAATTTTAATTACTCAATACACATCAATACTAGGTATCTATATATTATTAGTTATTACATTAGTAAAATTATGTACTAATACGAAAAATTATTCTGTTATTCTACCTACTGCAAAGAAAACTGATTATTTTCTGTATTTAAATATTTTGTTTGATGAAGGACACTATTTATTAAAATAGAAAACTTTTTGTTAATTAAATATATACCTTCTCTAAAGATAATCTCTCAACTCTTTTGGTAATCTTTAAAGAAAGATTCAATTTACTGTTCACGCGTGTATAGTGTATATAGATAATGAATATCTAATCAAAATAATCAATAYCAAAAGAAGGATAATTTATTAATCCCAAATGCACGATTTTTAYCCATCAAAACGTTTTCTAGTATACCAAAATGTATATTCTATATTTTATATAAAATAGCTACTATCGTAATAAATCTATATTTCTATTACTTATCACAGAAACCCAAAATATTAAGATTAATTTGTAATATATATATATATATATATWATATAAATGCACAWGTTGTAAAAAGTATATTTTATTATATCGTATTCCAATTATTGAAAAATCGTAAATATTAGATGTATAGTCTCTGGTAGAATATTATAATATTATTTGAATAGTGTAATGTCTGTAATCCTGCCACTACTGTTTGTTGAAGTTTTCTGTAGAAGATAGTCAATATTCAAGTAAAGTTTTTTTATTTCCTACTGTGTATACTGTATATTATGAATGAACCTGAATAATATTTGAATAGTTTATTTCGTTTACACTGTGAATACATTATGCTTTTAAAAACAAAGCCATTCTTGTTATTTAGTTACTGGTTCCGTAGGGGTTGGATTACCAAGATTACACTGTAAAATTAAATATTACACATACATAATTTCCATATAATTATTTTGATAAATGAAACATTTTTTTCGTCTGGTCAGCTCCTGTCGACAAAGGGAAAACATGTCTGAAGCGAAACGATTGTGAATCTGGACAGTCAAATGAAAATTCTAATTCAAATGTTCATTTTAATCAGGTAATTAAATAAAAAASTAACCATAATTTTGTAAACTTTTAAATATTGTGTAATTCAAAATTGACAATTTTTTATTTGTTAGTGGGACGAAACAAGTTCTGCAAATACAGATGATAAAAGAAATAAAGGGTCGAGTCAATCCAATGTTCATCCATTGTCACAAAGAAAAAGCATGGCGGGGTCGATTAAGCGATATAGCTTGAAGTTACGTAGAAATACTAAAGAAGGAATAAAAGAAATAATGTCTTCAGACGGAGATTGTACGTATTAGTTATTACTATGTACATTGTACATTATAATGTAAAACCTGTCTAAAATAACTATTATTATCCTTAAGATCGAAGTGATACGTCAGATGGTTGTGCTCCAGTAATACCTGGTGAAATCAGTGGTGAAGATGAATCGGGAGCCATGATGAGTGATGATCATGCACCAACCAGCCCATGCGAGAGTAATGAAACTGATGATACGACATATTTTATGCCATGGTTAAAAGTAATTTTGTTAGACCATACTTATACAAATTTTTAAAATATTTAGCACCCACGGTACTGATATTCCATTAATCAATTATAATTTCAGACAGTAATTCAAATAAATAAGTCATTTGACCATAGTTGCACGCATCAGTCATTTTGCAACCCATTATGTTATAAAAGACAGATGCGTTCTTGTTCAAGACTCATTAAAGCTATCAGAAAGGTAACATTAATAATATATTTACATTTTTAAAACAAATAAGTATAATATACTCTATACATTTATACTGTATGCAGAATATAGTGTCTGAAGTCTGTAATGTAATAATTGTAATTTATAAATCTAATTTATGAATGAATATAAATATTCGATATATACAATTTAAGTCAGCTAATCGCTGACTTTATTATTTCATAAATAATTAATAGTTAATAAATTATTAATTTGTTATAATTAATACTTCCATCTATTATTAGTTATACGGTGAAGAATTTGGTTTAATGGCTTCAATAGAAGGCAGTAGTGATTTAGAAGAATTTAGTACGATAACAAAAGTCGATGCTAAAAGAAACTTACAGTTATCAAGTTGTCAATCTTCTCCCAACAAACGAAAAGATAGTCTTGGAAAAATAGAAAAGTATTATTTCCTTATATTTAAATAAATAAATATGGTTTCTCACATTTTTTTTTTTTTAGTTCTAATTTACTTTATAATCTCGGAGAAAGTATGTCAAGCAATAAAAGAATGCTGTTAAAATCTGATTCTAAAGTTCATGAAAAAAAAGATAATAAAAACACCAACGAAGATAAGAATGAYCCTCCATTAATTTTAAAATACATAAAAAATCAAGTAACAGACAAATTATTAAGATGTATTWAAATATAAAACATTAATTACACTGTTAAATAGGTACATGACATTTTCCATTGTTCAATGGCYTTATTGATAAAAGCAGCTGTTGTATTAACAGAAGAACAGGTTCTAGATATCTTACCAATTGCGTGGGAATTTTTATTAGACCCTAATCAAGAATTGGTGGCGTCCTCTTCGACTTTATTCATTATAGCGGCGTTTAAAGCTCCACAGAAATGCATTGAACTAATTAGTAGTAGTTTAACTAATAAAGATTGTATTGTTAGAGCAAATGCAATTTTAAAGTAAAGAATACCAAAAGTATTTATATTAGTATATTAATAATTTTCATTTGTTAATATGTTTAGATTTCATGTTTTATGGAAAAACCGATTTCAACCATGGCCTCGAATGGAAGAAGGAGCGCATAATTCATTTAGAATACCTCCACCAGGAATTGAATTTACTTTAACTTCACCAAAAATCGGAATAGAATGTTTACCTATTGTCGATCCTCCTTGGATGCCCCAAGTGGAAACTAAAGTAGAAGAAGTGACAATTGGTCAGGATACACATGTAAGTAATATATAGTAATATCCTCTAAAACAATAATACAAGTATACAACTATGATAGCTTATGTATACAGTGTTTATTAAACTCATGTATAGAGATCATTAGTAACAGCTACTAARACACGAAAAAAGCAGCAAACAGAACTTATAAAAATGGCTTTAGAAGCTAAGGAAGACCAAAGAAGAAACGAACGAGAAAGTTTCCTCATCACAGCCATTCCTATTAATAGCCAAGCAGCACACGAGTCAAGCATGCATCATGGATTATCTGATCCTGAATATGAAGAAGGTTGATCATTGTTTTTTTGTTTTTTTGTTGATTAGTTTTATTTACTTCATATTACGTACCTATAGGTGTAGAAGTTGATGAACACGAAAATCAATTACGTGTTGTGGCTCATCATTTAGTTCAATCAGTAACCGTGTTATTTCCATCTGCCCTTTGTTCTGCTGTCATTGATATCATAACGTTATTAAATGATCCTGCCGTTACAGCAGATGGTAATTCAGTGTGTGAAACAGCTTATCAGGTATAAACTAATTAAGTATAATAGAAACAAATGTATAATATATAATGGCATATTGTATACTTGTACAATGTACATCATATAAAATACATAAAGAATTAAAAACGTATAAAATTGCATAGGTCATATGGGACTGTATGGTGGAAGACTGTTATTTATTTTTACGTTTTGTGTTGGAAAGACTAACCAGGGATAATCAAGAAAAAATTTTCAAGTTATTACGTCATTTAATACGATTTGTACCAAAACTACCCCACCAAGCTGCTTTTATTTTGTATAACTACATAATCGGGTATGTTATGTTTTATGTGAGATCACCACATGAAGAAGGTCAAACTATGATTGGTTCGGCTTTATCCATTTTATGGATGGTAAGACAATATAATTAACTAATTAATAATAAAGTTGACTTCACTAGGTCTTTTCAATTGAAAAAATTAAATTGTAATTTAGGTTGTTCACAGTGTACATGGTATAATGTTTAAAGATTTAAAACAAATACTACGRAAAGAACAATGTGACGGATCAATTTTGCTCACCGCTAATGTTCCCTCTACAAAAAAAGTTGTAGTGCACGGTCCTCAAGGTAAATATATTAATTGAAATTATCGGATATTGAATCATTATAGTACCTACATTCATAGTCAATAGATAATAAAAACATTAAAATAGAACAACAGCTATCTTTTTTGTGATGGGATTGAAAAAGCTGATTAGCTGAGCCGAGTTGTAATGACATTATAATTATAGTTGTGAGGTTAATAATTCATCTCAACTGGACACTAATCCAACCAAATCGTCTTATTTACTTTTAGCATTAGTTCAGTATTCTAAAAAGGTTATAAAAACAAAATTTAAATGTACATAAATTTCACAGAACAAATGTCTGGAGGCATTCCATCACAATTTCCTGTTCAAGAAGATACACAATTTTTCCAAATTTTAAAAGAGTCTTTAGATTTTTTTGGTATACCTGAAGATCGACACAGAGAATTTTTCCTTGTTAACATTAAAACTCGTGAGTATTATTTAAATATATAAATATTGTTTAGAACCCTTATTCATAAATATATTATAAAATTGCTGTGAAAAAAAAAATGTGTTATAGTAGTAGAAAATTAATAAATATACTTTCATTACTTTTAGGTCAGATTCACAATCCTACTTCTTATGTAAGAGATTATTATTTTTTYAAAAGATCACAATATCCTCAACTAGAATTAATCCAAATGGATCTTATTGAAGCATTTAATCAGTTGCAAAGTCAGGAACTTATACACAAATTTATTGAAATAGGAAAAGTACTTCTCACTTGGGCAATTTTAAAAAATGTTGATATGGTAAGTTATAATTTTTAACATAAAATAACAAACAATACAGCAATGGTGGTCTATTAAAATTGGCTAATATTACGTAATCCAGAAAATAAAAGATTGCTTTATTAGTTATTTATAAATTTATAATTTCTATAGAAACTTCCTTATTCGACATGGCCTGACCATTATTCTTTTATATTTTTCACAAGCCGTTTAAATCAAAAATAAATAATGATATATTTTATATTTTACTAATTAAATTGTATACATTATGTAGATTGTCATTATTCACGTTTAAATAAGAAAAAACCTTAAATAAAATTAAGTAATTAAAAATGTTCGTCATTCACTTCATTTGCAAATTATTTAGTTTACATATGCATGCAATGTATTATCTGTAGGTATTYGGAAATTTGGCGTTAGGATAAAACATCTCTATACTCTGGTCCACGAGAGTCCGACTGAAAACTGAACCATACCGCTGTATACACGTTGCGAATAGTAGGAATGGTGTTCACTGTTGGAGATGCACTGTTTATGGTCGGACTCTCGTAAACCGGAGTATACAGACTTTGGACTAATGAATATTTAATAAATAATAATAATAATAATAATATAATATAATAATAAAAATTATAATCATTCGATCATCGCTATCGATGTAGAGCGACAACGATGATCGAACGAAAATAGAACACATATACTAGGAACGGTAGGAATATAAAAGATAATATTAACTTGTATTAAAATAATTTTCACAATATAAACAAAAATATTTGGATAAATTACAAGAAAATTGAAATTTTAGTATAAGTTAGATAAATAGATAACATTTAGATTTATATCTAGATAATAATAATAATAATAATAATGTTTATTCAATGAATAAAATGGGCAAATTGCCCAATAGTACAAGTAAGTAAATAAGTAATTAATAAATTGATACGGAAATCGTACAACAACATTAATTTATAATAATTATAAACTAAAACGAAAATGATTGCTCAAATAAAATATTACATATTGTTAGTAAAGTAAGTTTTAAGAATTAAGGCTAACGGAGTAAAAAACTATCAATGTTAGGTGCAAGTTTTATTACACAGGGYCATGGCTCTAAGAATAGTGGAGYATTTTAAATAATTTTTCCTGTGTGATGGTAAGTAGAAAATGAAAGTGTTTCGATTATTATGTGCAGGGATATTGAATAAAGTATGTTCTAATAGGTAAGGCGCATCAATATAGTTATTGATTAGTTTATATAAAAAAGAAATATCAGCTAAATCCCATCTGGAGGCTAGAGTGGTAAAATTAAGAAGTGATCTTATTGATGTATAATCATGCTAGTTAATAGATATGTTGAATTTATATGCTGCGAACCTTAAAAATCGCTTCTGGACGCCCTCAATAATCTCGATGTCGGAATTAGTATAGGGGCTCCAAATAGGAGATCCATACTCTAGGATGGATCTTACTAAAGCGCAATAAAGCAACTTTAGTGAATCCAGATTTTTAAAATCAGACGTTGAAGTGATTTTTTTACTTTACATTCTATATGTTTCTGAAAATTTAAATCGTGGGTTAAGGTTATACCTAGGTCTTTGATAGATAAGGTTGAATGAAGTTCAATATTGCTTATATGATAAGTAAAATTAATATGTTCCTGAGAATTATAGAAGCACATCGAGTAGCATTTATTAATGTTTAATCTCATTCCCCAAACTTGTCACCAATTTACAAGGTATTTAATTCCTCTTGAAGATTTGAACAGTCACTAATATTGATGAAATACGAGAATAAATTTTAGATCATCTGCAAAAAATAAGAAGTGACATTTGCTTAAAACCAATGATATAGGTACTGTTTATGAATAAAATGAATAGGACAGGAGATAAATGGCCACCTTGAGGAGTAACTGATGGAGCAGGTAATAAACTAGATGAGAATCCAATGACTGAGGTAAATTGGGACCTATTTGTCAARTATGAATTAAGCCAGGATAATAGGGGGTTACTGAAACTTAATTGATTTAAAGCAATAGAGAGAAATTTGTGATCCACACGATCAAAGGCCTTTTCAAAGTCCGTATATATTACATCAACTTGTCTGTTATTTTTAAAAKACTCTAGTATGAAGTGCTGTAGAGTTAAGTTGCATGAAAAGGTTGATCGACCGGGACTAAAACCATGTTGGTTATTGTCCAAAATGTTACTGATTGGATCGATTATATGCATATGAACTAGTTTCTCTAACAATTTACCAAGTTGTTCAAGGCCTGAGATTGGCCTATAATTTTTTACATCTGACTTATTGCCTTTATAAAAACATGGGTAACAGAGCTAATTTTCCATAAGGAAGGGAAGACACCTTCCTTGAGTGATTTGTTGAATAACAAGAAGACAGGATAGGCAATAGAACCTGATGAGCTGGAGAGAAAGTATCCGGAAATACCATCCGGGAGAATTCGATTTATGTAAAGAACGTAATAAGCCWTCTGAAACTTAATCATAAACTGAAGAAAAGTATAAAGAGATTGGTCAGCAGTAATCGTCCAAACATTTCCCGCCTTTTTTTAAATTCAAACCTTGGGRCATTATACACTAATATTTTAGCTCATAACCTTATTATAGCTAGTGTTGTAAAGTATTTGAGTATTGGTCTTCAAAATACTTTTACAAGTATTGAATAAGTACATATTTTTAAATTTAAATACTGTTTATCAAAAAGTATTGAAGTTTATTTTAAAAACTACTTTATTATATTGAATACTTTCCAATAAAATACTTGTTTCCAATTAAAATTGTTATCAAATAAACTCAATGAGCCAATTAAAATTATTGGGAACATATTATTAACTTAAGATGCATAAATAATTATGATAAAATAATGTTTTTTGATAAACATTAAATTGACATAATTGATGTACCTAAGTATGATATATGTTTATAATTTGATTATGCAGACCATCTCCACCGATCTTGATTTAATGCTTCATGATTATAATAATAAAAATTATAATATTATTATTATTCATTAATTGTAAAGAGTTAAAAAATAAGAATGCTTTACCGTATAATGCAATATCATTATACTATATAATACAGTAATACAAAAACAGTATTAGGTAGTACTTGAAAGTATAAAAAAGTGATAGGTACTTAATTTTCAATAATATAATATATACTTTTCGTAGAAGTTATGTTTCAGACAATTTAAGAATAATTTTAGTATTTTACTAAAAATTAAAAAAATTMAATAAATTATTAAAATTAATTAATATTGAACAATTTCAACAAATTAACTTATGGCAGTAATGCATGAAGTATAAATATTTGGACGATTAATCGCGTCCATAATTAATGATAACAGCCAGCCAATAGAAAACGTTCACCAAGTTGGCCACTCTCTTTAATATCGAGGCTCTCGGCTTACCATTATTTGCAGTTTTATTATTAAGGAAAACAGAATTAGGTATATCACGAGTGCTAGAATTATTAGAAACCAATTTCCAAAAATTTTTTGGATTTATTTTTATTTCATTTTCAGAACGGTGAACAAATTCCAAATATATGGATTAAGATTTAGACTTATATTGTGCTCTCAATTTAGAGAAGATTTCGTAATTAGTTTTGGTTTTATTTCTCGTRTAAATGGAATGAGCTTTAACTTTGCCAGGCTAAAGTTTTAAGATCTTTATTAAACCAGCAGGGAAATTTGTTATTGTTATTAACTATTTTTTGGGGAATAAAACTAGTTAGGGTTATTAACAGTGCGTCTTGGAAAAGGTTAGCAGCTGCCAGCTACTTCAACATCAAGGTTATTGAAAGAATTGAACCAATTGAAATAATTAAAAACTAAGTTAGCATTTTTATAATCACTCGAGTTGTATAAAAATATATTAATTTAATTGTTAAGATTGGGTGCAAATGTGGGTAGCTTGCATATCTTTCATCTAKATAAGTCTAAACACGTTAAAACTGATCACGACTTTAATTTTTATTATATTATGATTTATAAATTATTATCTCCATTAATAGTTCATTTTGAAATTTGTTTTTTAAGGTTGTACAAAGGGTGGTATTTTTACATGAGGAATTAATTAAACTACCTTCATTTCCTAGAAAAGCATTAGACGCAGATCTCGATYTATACAAAGGTGGTAACATGGGAAAGGTAAATATATAATTACTGCCATACAACACAATTAGTAATGAAATACTAATCGGTATTTAATCAATATTATGTTTATTACGTTTTTACAGGAGTTATTAGGATTGGATTTATTACATAAGTTTATCTGGGTTCGATTACTCGCTCGGATGTTTGAAGCAATGGCAGGCAACTTTGCTTATTCAGGTGACATTCATTTGTTTTTGAATGTATTAAATGGAGCAGTAACATTACACAGCGAAGATTCTTGTGTATTACGTTATGTAATGGCTACTTATATAAATGCTGCCCGCAATTTCAAAAATATATTTTCGAGCAACGGGTAGATAATACAAATTTGAGTGTTGATTTTTGGTATTTCATTATGATTTACATTTGCAGGTATCTGTTGATTATCCCCACACTACTCCAACTATATGCAAGTCATCACACGAATAAGATTGTTACTCGATCAATTGAATATACAATTAAGCAGTTTTACTTGATGAATCGTAAGCCATTCATATTACAAATGTTTGGCAGTGCGTCTAGTATTTTAGACTTAGACGATGCAACAAATATAGAGGATTCAAGTCGTGTATGTGTTTAAAGTTCATAAATTTAAGATTCTGATAGAATTATTTTGTATTCAACATGAGTATTTTTTAATACTTTGTATGAAAATTAAAAAAAAAAAAATTATTTTTAGAATTCTCTAAGATATAGTATGACCAGTCATTTGGTTTTTGGATGTATCCATGTTTTGGGTATACACTTGATTCTTCGGAACCGTATTATAGAGGTGTTTACCCAATATATGGCTACATCTAAAAATCATATCTAACAACAATTTAATTTAATTTAACTACCTATATATTGTAATAGGATAAGTATTAAGTACCTATTCAATATTTAACGCTTTCTTCCTTCTGTTTATCTCATAAAAGTGAATTGTTTAGGTTGAAGCTAATTACTTTTTCAAATTGATATTGAGCTTGGAAACTGCATCGCCCGATCCCATTCATATTAGTGAATTGATAAAAGAAGAAAAGCCATTACAAGCGGTTGATTTTTGTTATCAAGATGAAGATGATACTATCACAATACAAGATTGCATATCTTTATGCGTAATGGTTATAGCATTTTCACCTGAAACCTTACGCTCATATCAGATGCTTGTGAGTATTCTATAGATAATCATGTGTAGGTAACATGAATATCATCGTACTATTTCTTCAACCAAATCATAACATCCCTGCAAATTTACGTTCAACAGAACCGACTCTAATTAAAATATCATAAAAATCCAATKAAGTAACACTTGTTCTTAAATTTAAGTTTGATAATAGGTGAATTCACTCTAATATTAAAATTTAAAAGTTATGACGCAGAGTTGGTTGTGCTAAGCTTAAATTTACCAAGTTACGCGTAGGTCAAAGATAAATAATTAAATAGTATGTTGATATCATCTTAACTCAAGATTCACCCGGTATTAATTACAATTTACAGTGGTCGCCACTTATAGTGTTCACTAGTTATAAGAATCAGCCGCTTATAGTGATCAAAAATGCCAGAATCGGAACAAATAGCGGTTACAAGTGCATTATTCGTTGCATACAATGTACAGGTTTTCGGTTATTGTGATCAGAAATATAAAATATAAATATAATTTACAATAATATCACCTCTTTTTGTGTACAGGGAAAACGATTACGAATGACAATTATCTTAAACGAGCTAATCTTATCTAATGTAACCCACATAGTGAGTTCACATAGTACTTCATAATATCGTACGTCATGTTTGAAACCGTTTTTGTTCTTACAAGCACCGATATTTTACACTATATAGGTACGCAGTTTGTTTTCGTCCGTCATTCAATGTACTGGATATATAGAATAAAAAATTAAAAAATTAAAATTATTAAAAATAAAAATAATAATACTACATAAATACAATTTTAACATTCAAATGTTTTTATGTTATTTTCTACCTGTTTTTTGACTCGCCACTTATCGGGATTTCCGGTTATAGTGATCAAATTACTCTTGAACGAATATGATCATTGATCACTATAAAGGGTGACCACTGTATTATAAATGTAGTGACTACAAATAGTGGTATTAGATCATCAATACAAATGATCAAAAGATAAAATTTAAGCACCATTTTTAATTTTACATTCTTTTATTATAATTAAGTTACTGTCAACTTTTAAATAGCCGTTTATAGAGTTTTAGTTTCAATACATTTTACCATCATTCCATAGTCCATATTAATAATATATGATACTTTATACTTATCATTATAAAATTTGTATAATATTATATGTTTTTTCTTTATGTAGCTTATTTTAGAAGCCATTTTACCATGTTATTTAAAACACATTCAGCAACCAATGTACCGAGACATCGAAAGAGATGTTATCAATCAACTAATCATTTCAATAAAAACGTTAATTAATAATAGTGAAGCGTTATCAAAGTATGCATTATAGGCTAWTATACAATAATAACTATTATTAATCAAAAGTGTTTAACATTTTAAAACTAGACATTATAACGGGCCACAAAAAACTAGTCAGGAGCCAAAAGATTCTAGTCAGAGAAATTGTAGTAAAGGACTATGTTCTCCGACTGGTGGTGAAACGAAAGATCTGGAGTCGAATTCAAAAATGTTTAGTGAACGTAAAATCCATAAAGCTCCCCCCGATAGAGAGTTTTTGGAATTTGAGATACAAGTTGAAGAAAAATATGCCGTAAGATAAATGTATTATACACACCTATTATATTATTAAAACTTATTGTTTTTAGGCTCTACGAAATGAATTTCGCCGAACTAGAGATGTTTTGTTATCAGTTGTAACAGATTTTGTGGTTATATGCCATGCTAGACTAACCGAATTAAGTCGCAAGTACCCCAAAGAAGGGAAACCTTTTGAAATTCTAGATACACGGATGCAAATCGTTAGTTCTTAAAACTTAATTGCAATTTATCTTGTTTACTTATTATTAAATACTTTTATAGAGATTAGGTGAAGTTGCTCATAGTTTATTAAAGGTATCGCCTTATGACCCAGAAACGATGTCGTGTAAAGGGCTACTGAAGTATATGACAAATATTTTACCAATAGTTGATTGGGCAGCAGAAGCTTTACGCCCAACTCTCTTAGGAATTCTTAGGAGACTTGATAAAACATTCAATAAAATTTACAAAAAGCCATCTATCAGAGTAAGTTGGGATAAACTATTTTAAATGCCTTATATTAATATAGTTTAAAATGCTAAAATTATTATTTTATGAGATAGAAGTTTCATTAGTAAGGGAAACTTGTCTAAACAATTTTTATTATGGTTTAGAGGTACACTGATTGGTATGCTGCAGGAGAATTAATAAAAGGGGTTTATGAAATACTGTCTGAACATCCATTTATCGTACATATTCCACATTTCAAAGCTCTTATTTCCACTTGTCAAGTAAATACTATTACCTATTTATTTTATTAATTATTCAAATGGAAGATATTATTTAATTATATTGAATATAACTGATATTTGTAATATATAGGGTATCATAGTTGGTGATTCAGGGAGTACGGCTACCGTGGCAGTTGATAATTTCCAACAATCTATTATACCAGTGGAAACACCTCCTCCACATTTTTGTGCCATTGTCATACGTCTATTGGCGTTACATATTTTGGCGATAGGGGTAAGTTAGTAGAAATATTTAGGAAAGTATAAAATAAAAATGTTAATAATCTGCTTATGTACTTAACCGGCAACTCTCGGTATTTTCTTGAATCATTTTATCTCTCTTCTATACCTGCGTTAATATTATACCTATATTGGCTATATTACTTTAAGYTTTAATTATATTTCTGTAAATGTGTAATAATCAAAAATAAAAATAAAATGTAAATTGTTGTAATGTGTTAAGCTGCGTACACACTTGTAACATTAACTCGTAACATCCTTTGATGCGACTCAATTTACCGACAACTGGTGGAACGGTGTTACGGCGTTACAGCGTAACAGAAAATGTTACAAGTGTGTACGCGGCTTTAGAAAAAAATGTATTGAGAACACTATCAGGTTTGTCTAAATTCATGAATAACACGTAATACCATGATTTTATCTAAGTTCTATACAAAAAAACTAACGGGAAGTCTATAACGTTAAGTTTGATTAGTAAATGTTAAAAAAAAGTAAAATTTAAAAATTCCTAAAATAGTAAGCCTTTTGTAGCTAGTTGTAAAAAAAAAAAAAAAATGTACAATAGCAATTTAAAAATTACTAGTGTGTACATATTATATAAATTGAACCCGTGCACTTCGTAGCCTGTTAAAATTCCTACCTCTTATATGTCTCAAACTGTATGTTAAATTCGTTAGCTGTGGTTATACTGGCAGTATATTTTTATACATACAGATAGATAACGGTTAAAATACACTAAGTAATAATCTTACAAAGATATTCAATTTGTATATATATATATAAATCATTTCTTAGGAGTATTTTGCATTATAAATTTAACTTACTGACCAAATTTAATACTCGTAACTTCAGAGATTCAAGCAAGATTCATTTTTCATTTTCACCCATTTTAACCTTTTTAACCACTGTAACGCTGACAAATAATGTGGCTTTCTATTCATAAAAGAATTTTCAAAACCGATTTAGTAGATCCAGAGATTATCCCCTATAGCTTCACAAACTCTAACTCTTTATAATAATATAATATAGGTTTAGTATATTTTTTGGTGGAAAAATGAAGCAACTTATAGAAATGCGATCCCCCTCCCTTTCCCCTCAGCCAAAAAACCAAAAATTGGATGCCGTGGTTAAACTCAGGAACGTATTTGGAACAACTTTATGAAAAAAAAGTTAAATAGCATCATAACAAAATAGGAGTATAAAAATGGCCTGTTCTTTCATATATATATAAAGATTATTTACTTATTAATAATAACTTAAATAGAAATAATACTATATTGTACCAAAACCCTATAATTGTCAATTAATAAAAAAAATATCATACATTGTATTCTGTTACTAGGATAATTATACGCTGGAACAGTCAGTCGGAGGAATGATTAATATTATGTCATCTCAAGTCAAGACTGAGAGCTTTCTAATGAATTTATTTTTACCACTTTGCTTTAGAGTTGGTATAGGAAAAAAAGGTAAATAGATTCTTAAATTGCCTATACTGAAAATTATTTAGATCTAACCTTTTTTGCAAATGCATACTTGATACAATTAATATTTCAAATTTGTATTTAAATAAATTAGAAAAAAATATTTTTATATTTTTTTATTGATGACCCGCGCCAGGTTATTTATTCTTATGTCTATTTTTTTTTTTTTAGTATATATAGGTAATATCTGAAAAATGTGGAGGTAACAATATAGTTTTTTTTTTTTAACAAAGTGCAATCTATATTATACTCTAATTTTCTTAAATATATTTATTATTTATTTAATTACATGAATAATAAATACAGGGTGTCCCGCGAGGATTTACCCATTGCAATATCTCACAAAATAAYGGAGATATCAAAATTCTGGTTTTTTAATAAAATTCACAGGGATAAGAACTACAATGTTTGACTTTTACGATTCAGAAACTAATTTTACACGTCAGACTTTTCTCTGTTTGTTCTGCTTTCTTTCATTAGTCGTTTTCTATTAATATCATATAGAATATAATGTAGGTACCTATGCAAAAAAATGTGGTAAAATGGAAAAAATAAATATAAATTATAATGACATAAAGAAGATGATGCAACGCATTGATAACATATTGATATAACTTTTAAGAAATGAGTAATTTTAATTGTAACTTATAAACTCAAATTTTTGTGGTTTGTACAGAATGATTTTTTTTTTCAGGTTTTATTTCATTTTATCATATAAAACCATAACTGTAAGTAACAAATATAATATACATAGATATTATATTATATAGTATTTAATATGTATGTATATTATATTGTCACAAACCACAAAAATTTGAGTTTATTAGTTACAATTAAAATTACTCATTTCTTAAAAGTTATATCATTATGTTATCAATGCGTTGCGTCATCTTCTTTATGTCATTATAATTTATATTTATCTTTTCCGTTTTACCACATTGTTTGCATACATTATATTCTATATGATATTAATAGAAAATGACTCATGAAAGAAAGGCAGAATAAACAGAGAAAAGTCTGACGTGTAAAATTTAATTTCTGAATCGTAAAAGTTGAACATACTTTGAAATATCTGGACGTTTATCCGAGCTGAGTTTGACTGGTGATAGAGTTTTATGTATAAAAACCAACACTTTTTATAGTATGATACCTAGTGGATCTGGATCTAATGAACGATTATGTTTGCTTCGAACAATAGTTTGCATCATATCACTGATGGAAATGTTTGTTTTGTCATATGAATTTGTCTTAAGGTTCTAAATTTTTGTTTTTAATGTTTAACTTATTAATTACTATCCAATATTCATTGTCACTGTCTCTYTGGAAAAATATGATAAACAGTAAAATTTTCAAAAACAGAAACCAAAAATACTGCTTATTTTATTAAATGAAAAATTTTAAATACTAAGATTTAAATATTTAATTCACTATAGTTTTAATTGTACTCACATTTAAATTTATACTGAATAAATCTTAGGTTTATCATTTATTTGACTTTAAATGATAATTATTACCTACATTTAAATTTGACATGACGAGTTTGTTTAAAATATTTGTAAATTAATGTTTAATATATGTATTTTTTTAAAGATATGCATTGTATGAGACCATGCGATATCAAATTTATGTTGTCAGTCGTCTTAAATTCAATGAGTCCACCTGTAAAAACTACATGTTTGACATTTGTGCAACTTACAAATGTAAAACAAACGTCTGATTTACGAACAAACTCATATACATTCAACAGGGATTCAAAACCAGCCCCAACAGTTTCTAAATCATTTTTCAAAGTGTTATTTTTAGGTGATTATCGTAAAAACTATACTAGTTGAATTGCAGTTTGTACTTAACTATATTATTCATAAATTTTTATTTGTGTTTKTTAGCCCTTAAAATAATGCTCGTATGTTTCGAATCCGAGTTAGCTTTACAATATCAACGTATCGCGCATACTGTAAAGGAACTCATGAATGTGCAAGATGCTAGGGCATCCATTTGGTCTTTTATTGAGTTTATCATCATTAACAGATCACCGCTCTTCATTCTTCTCCAGCCTTTCATCATGCAAAGAGTAAAATACTTTTATGCACATTTTTACATATCTCGCTGACTAATTAACTTAATTTTCAGTTGGGATTAATGAACGTGCCAGAACACGAAACAACATCACACAACTTGCTTAAAGAAAAGCTTATAGAGTATACTGCTATCACTCCATTATGCAGGAGTTCTCTACTTGTTGAACTAATGAATGAAATGACTGAACTCAAGCAAGAATTGGATGATCGATTAGGTATTGTGTTCTTATTAAATTAATATCTAAATTATTATTAATTAATATCTTAATGCTGGATTATGGAGTAACGAATACAAAATGAGTCAATTTTATTATAAAAAAATTTAAATGATGATTATGATTATACAATTTTACTCAGTAATTAAGTTACTTCTTCTATTTATATATCTAGATGAGCAACGAACAAGATCTAGTAATGGCTTGCGAAATTCGTGTGAAACTCAACACCGACCATCTATTATAAATTTGTTACCAGGGAACTCAAATCCATCTTATAGTGTATGTACCATAAACACGCATAGAGAATCAATATCAAGTGTACGCAGTAACTTAAGTAGCCAAGAAAGTTCCATCAAGAATTTGGGAAATATGCAAAGAGGTATTTTTCATTATTATTATAGGTTAATTGATTAGTATATATCGCATAGATATCAGCTGATGAGTGATGATGTTATTATAAAATTGTAATTGTAATTTCTATTTTCTTGACCAAATAAAATACCCAGATATTCAAGTAATTTGATTATAAATAGTGATATATCAAATTTTCGTCAAAACTGCTGTTATTAACTAGTAAATCACGTGTTTTCCTAGACGGAATCATAATTACGTAGTTGGCACTATTATACATATAATATTCATATACATCACACAGGCAAATACAYATGTGTAAAAWTTTTTAGATAAACCAATTAAAATAAATATTGCTTGTTAAATAAAGAAAATAGATTAATGCATGTCGGTAAATCATCATCATCCTCTATTATCTATAACCGTCTAAAATTGTAAAGCACCTACTTATAATAATTAAAATGAAATATTAATTGATCATTCATAAAATGTATTCAACTCAAATATAGATCTGAAAAATGCGGATGGAGACCAAATCGACATATTATCAACAAAATTCAACGAACCACGTTTACAACGTTCAAGAGCACAGAGTCGAAAAATTTTCCGTTTTCGTCAAAGCCGTCGTATGGAGGTAATTAAAAAGTTTTACTTTTTTATTTAATTTTAATTTAATACTTCTTACCAATACTTTTGGTATTTATCTTTATTCGTCGAATTTCAAATCTCATAATAAAGTGAATATCCACTTTACGAAGACAACTCATTATTAACACTTTGTATGTATTCATTGTTCCTGAAATACCCATTCCTTCAACCATAAATCTTTATAGATATTTTACTAGGTATGTAACACTCGTATAACCAAAAATAATTAAATGATATTAATACATCAGAATTCATTTGAAAAGTCAATCAGGTACGCTGCTGATGTCAATCTATATTTCCAGTATATCATGAGTCATTATTCATAATTCATAACCATAAGTATGACGTTTAATCGAGTGCATATCTGTCAAGGGTGTATTTTTCGGTATTTTATAGATATGATAGGTTTAGCGACAATATTCAAAACATTACAACTGAAAACTAAATGAAAACGAAACTGATAAATGCTTCATTCAAATATTATCATCCTTCAATACACTCGGTGTATACCCATGTGGAACAATTAGAAGAAGTGAAAGAAAATGCTTCACAAAAAATTGATTTTCTCACGTTTACATAAAGTTACAAAACACTTAAATTTAAGTATCTGCCTATGGTCTACATAATATTACTATGGTGTGTACATAATATAAAGAACATCTAAGAGGAGGATAAGTTCAGTTATTTTTTATTACGTTTGTTAATACAGAAGATTCCTCCTCAACGACATATTTGTATAAATTTATCTATTTTTTGTTTCGATTATTATTTAGTAGCCATAAACAAGTTTTAGTGTTATTTTACAATTGTATCATTATTTATAAATTTATAATACAAACAATAAWAACAGAGATAATAATATAGGAAAAAACTAGGTTCAAGAGGACTCATCCATATCCATTGCTACCCATACCAAACACTGCCATATTATATTCATATAATATTATATAATATAGATTATATCATTATAAAATTGATCTGGGAGACTCTTCTTCTGGGTTGATTTACTCAGATACGTTTGTATTTGTCTTAGTCATTTAATGAATCAACAGGTGATCCCGCAAGGTGTCAAGTCACAACAGCAACAAACTTACGATGACATGGACAAAGTACAGATGATGCCCAACAATTGCATATGCGAATGCCTAAGCACGAGAACAATACCATTGGACGAAGGCCGGGTTTCGATGTCCAAACCTGAGATGATATGGGAGGAGGATAGCCACAGTGCGCCGTCGCGGACGTCCAGCACATCGGGCTACCGGGAGAACTGCAGCCTGCTGATGATGCCAATGGGCAGCTCCGACGAACGGTCGTCGTCGCCAGTTCACTTAAACCATCACCACAACTGTCTTACAGCAAGCTGTTCTACTATAATGCCAGCTGACAATCCCGGCTCAGTGGCGACCGCCGCCGAATGCAGTGACCGGGAAATGAGTGGCAACGACGACGTTGGCAGTCAGCAGACGATCGCCACTTACGAGCAGGAGGATACGTTGCTCTGAGCTACCACTGATGACCTTTTTTGGTTTTGGTACAACTACGATTACAGCTGTAACGAAGGTTTTATTATTATTTCGAAGTTGCCTATATGTAAATACAATATAATCGTAGACTTATACTTATTAGTTATTAGTAAGGATAATAAAGGATTCATTTAAACATAAAGGGAGTGAGGCCTGAGTCAGTAGAGATTTGAGGAAATTGTGGTTACTGTATGTAACTCCGCCACAAAAACTCACCTCAACTTCTGATAATATTCTGCAGTTAAAAAAAAAACTTAATGACTTAATTATCCTTCCCTACCTCTTTTTAATATCTATACCATAATGCATGAATTGAGTATAAGTCTATGATTATAATATGCCCATCTAATTGCGACAAAGTCTAAAAATTAATATTTATAAAAAATGATTATAATCATATACAGTACAAAAATTGCTCACATAGCAAGAATTAAATCTAATTTTGTATTTGTTTATAATTTTWCATATTATATTCTAACCAACTGACCAACCACTGCCTGCAAAATTGGAAAGTGAAATATATCACAGAATACTCTTTAGCCATGCGATAGCCACCATTGCGGATCTTCGTATAACGGTAATAGAGGTATAATATGTTATATACTATTACGTATTATCTAAGAGTWTATATGTAACAATATTTACTCAAAGGTATTACACTATATTATACGTCATATCACATTCGCAATGGCCAAATTATGTCTTCAGAAACTTACTGTTAGGAGGGCGCAACACCCATTTTTGTTGTCTCAGTCTTTTAAACGCATAATATAACAAATTTACGCTCAGCAGTTCACATTCTATGCCTACGATAATTCCGACAAAACACAGATAATGTTGTTACCATCAAGTTTCATAATAGTTCTATTCACTCTAATTTTTAAGTTAACGGAATAAAACGTAAACTGCTGAGCGTAAATTTGCTATGTTACGAGTTTGTAAGACTGAGACAACAAACATAGGTGTTGCGCCCTCTTAAGACAGAATATTATAGAATTTTGGTTATATATAACAGCACAATATCAGTTGCATTATTTCATATTATTGTAAAGGAAAAATGTATAACCTTAAAAAAAAAATCAAATTTTATCCTAATCGACACTTTTCTATCCTTTTAAATATTTCTTATATACTATAATGGGATAGTTCCTTCTATTGATTAAAATTAAAAAATGTATAATTTAATATAGGTACTATATAGGCCTATTACTATAAACGAAAATAAAAATTATACATAATTGGGYGATTTATATGAAATTGATGTATACTATATTAATATATTAGAATATATTAACAAAAATAGTAAATATTTAAATGTCCATCTATAAGTATTATTCAAATAACCTATGTAAAAAAAAAAATACAATAAATATGAAAAATAATCGTATAAAATGAATTCCGATGGTAAGTTGGATCAATCTCACTAACAACCGGTCTGTAATTTGGTCTGCTTTTAAATAAATACGGGAACTATACCCTCTACCCCGACCAACCTAAAAACAAAAATGACGCCATTGCATATTTTATAATATGAAACAAAAGTAATATAATACATAGTTGGATAGATATAACTACCACAGTTTGCAATGGTTAAGTGATATAATATGTATCATTTATAGATCCTTGTTATTTATAGATAAGTAAACTGATACATTTTATAATGTGATAGTACGGTTATGATAGTTTGACAAATGTGTTTTTACAGAGCTTGAAACCTAATTAAAATCTGTCATAAAAACCAATCTCGTTGAAAATYGGTAACCAATATATTGTTAATAAAAAYGGTTTCAAGYCCTGGCCTTATTATGCATAATTCTAGAGTTAAATTATTATAATATCGTTGTATGGGACGTCACTGTACAGCTCCGATCCAAACGAAAATAATTTACTAGTTTATAAGCATAAATTCGTAAAAATTGTATTATTTCTAAACTAAACCTGTGATTTCTAATTTAACGTAGCCGTCACGTATTTATTAATATAGAGTTAAATTCCTGCCATAACGATATTGGTACCAACAAAAAAAGTTATATATATATATATTTATATTGCACTCAGATTGTCATACTTATTTTTTTATACCATTCGCGTTCGCCTAAGACACTGGCTGGTCGCCGTACAGCTCTTCAAACCACCGCCGAGTTGGTCATTAGTGCATTATTAATAAATCACTTAAGATGTTTAAAGCTGTCGACCGCCGAAAACATGGTTGAATGTTCTCGTGTTATCAAAAACGTATGGGTTTCTATAATCATATTTTGTGCGCTATTTATAATTATTTTAACGGTTTGATGAAAAAATGTATAGGTATACTAATAGTACCTAATACACGACGTGCCTATAAGTAAGAAGAAAAATGTTCAAATGACAATACAAATAAAAATTGTCTTTTAATTAATAACATACAAGGTTACTCGTCACAATTTTAGACAGCACTATTTACAAATAAGATATGTTAAACACACATAAGTAAAATATATCTAGTACCTACTTAGCTAATAATTTATTATATCTTAATATGTAGGGAAGAATAGTCAATTTTAAAATAGGTAGCCGTACAGGCCTTTATTATGACCAATATTATACATAATAATTTTATTATGKATTTAATTTAGTTATTTCTTATTATTCTCAGTTCTGTGATAAGAATAAAGTAATGAGCTTTGGGTTATCATTAGCATAATTTGAATACAGGTTATTATATAGCTATTAGGGATCTRTAACTCATATACAAGGGAACTAATGGGCAATATGTTTCGATTTTAGTAGATATTGTAATATTAAGGTAGATAAGCGAAACTAATACTTTTCAATTTGTATATTGTAATTTCGTAAAGGTACCTGTTAATTTTATGAATTGATTATTAATAGATTATAAATAGATTATAAATAGCGTTATTTTTTTGTTTAAAATGTAAAAAAAAAAAAAAAAACGTTGTCTGGAATGTTATATACATGATAATTCTATTATTAAATTATTAAATTCTATTACATTATTATTCGCATAAACTATTACATTTAATATTTTAATGCAAAAAAAAAAAAAATTATAAAGGGATTAAGATCGTGATATGTCTACAATTAAGCACTATTAATAGCTCCATATTTTAGAACTTCGTTTTGTACATGTCCATAAGTCATGTGTAAATGGAATCGTAAAACGAATGTTCTAATACTGGAATTCAAATTATTTTAATAGGGAACCATATATTCTATTATATTTAAGTATCTAACGCACTTGTAATATTAGATATTATAGATATATATATTATATTATTTTTTAGCGTTAATAATAATGTATTGAGTTAATCAGAACTTACACGATTCAAATGTGTTTAATTATATAGATTAATTATATTATGTAATAGAAACTAATTATCAAATAAACTATTAGAATATATTATATAGTATATTTGAATTTTTTTGGGATCAAATAAATATGTATTATTATATTACATACTTAGTGATAAATTATAGTATACATTTTTTACAAAATAAATGTACTTACTGCAAATAATGGTGAAACATAACATTACATGTATTTCATTATCTGTCTATAATATATAGTTGAGTTCATAATGAGATTGTCCAAGGGCTTCCATTCTAGAATATCTATTACAGCTCATGCACTAGTGCGTCCAACACTTGAGTATGGCATAACTGTATRTGTTCCTCATGATGCATGCAAGTGACTCGATGCAGCCCAAAAGGGTACAGCGATAACTTTTKAGGTTTGCTAGTAATTTGTCACTTAAAGTGGATTATCTCTTTGTTTTGTTTTAAAATCCCTAACAACAGTTCGCTTCTTAATTTCACATTCAACTACCAACTACATAAGGAATGAGCCTATTAGATGGTTAAGGTCTCATTCCAATGAGGATCCCTCCTTTTTTATGYCTRWTCATGAAATGTAACAATTATTACGTTGTGCATATTGTACTTTTATTTTAAACTTTTAATATTTATTTAATATTTTCTATTTTATCTTATTATCTAAAATTATTGTTATTAATGTATTGTCACTATGTAAACAAAGGCCTCGCCCTTAAATTCGTTAAGTAAATTAATTAATGGATAAATAATACTGTGAGTATTTAAATATTTATATTTTGTCCAATGAGAATTTATTCTGTAGTTWAAAATAAACAATTAAATAATGCTTTATTAGCGAAAAATAGTATGTACTGGTTTAACAGATGGATATAGATCATTAATAAATAAATATATATGTAACCTTATAACATCATGCATACACCTAAAATTAAAACACTTGAGCTCATACTTGAAACCCCTCTAAAAGCACTTTAAATATTTTAAGAAATAATTGTAGTAATGAATCGTTATGAGTATACCTATGATTTAAATCTATATTCATTGARATGAAAATAAGTAGTTGTCAATCAAATTTCTAATACGTAATATTTCAGTTGTATCGGTGTTACAACAACCTCCAATTATTTTCAAACCCTTTTTACTCCACAAGTTCAAATCGTCGATTGAAACTTGGTACATTTGAGTGTTATCCCAGCTATATAAATATTTATCATAATTTATCAAATAAATAAATAAAATAAATGAAGAATAAGATAGTTAGTAATTACACACACCATTTTTTAACCGCATCCCATACTCCACCTCCATTTGGATAAGTAATAAAAACGACATTCTCAGTTTTTACGGACGTCAAAAGCGGTGTTATAAGTTTTGGGTCCARACAGTTCATGCCGATAGCGATCAATTGTTTTTGAGAATCATTTGACCAGAACTTTTCTACAGCACTTGCAAATGTCTCTCCGTGACTTAAATGTTTGCTATCCTACAAACAAATATTACAAATATCAGTGTAAAATAATTTATAAATAATTTTAATGTAACAAAAAACTTTTTTAAGTGATACTGGTTTCTGAATCAAGTCAATACTTGATACAATATAGCTGTGATTTTGAATAAGTTACCAATTACACAAGGAAGAAGATCAAAAAAAAAAAATTACCTTACACGAGAACGATAAACATGCTTTTTGATTTGAATACTCGGCCAGTATGCTTAGYAAAATTTCAGCCTCGACCATCGAAGGAATCGTTTCAAAAAGTAATACATCGACACCAGCCTCCACCAGTGCTTGGATTCGAGGCTTATGCCAGTTGTATAAATCTTTAGAATTAATCTTATCAATATAATTTCCATTGTACTCTGAACCATCACACAGTGAAGCGCCATACGGACCAACAGATCCCATTATTCGAACTATCCGTTCTGTAAATTAACTTATCTAAGTACAATTTAACAGAGCCGTTCTAAAGTTTTCAGGATCAGGGAAGAATTAATGCCAGGGTTCTTAGATCATCATGATACGTTATGATAACAAAAAATTGTGACTGACATTTTTCCAAATTTGGCAATCCAAAATCGTTCAAAATCATGATATCGKCGTTATATATATTATAGCTGTAAGCATTTAAATAAATTACTCTGACAACCAATATTAGCTGTAAATACTAAACAATGAACACTAAAAAAAGAATAGGTAATAAATAAAATATTAAACATTCATAACGTGGGTAATAACTAAGTAAGTAGTAAGTTCGGTCACGGCCCTACTTTGCTATGCCACGTCGATACTTGTATAACGACTTTCCACGAAGCAATTTGGATATTTTTAGAATTGATCTCCGTACTCCAGCAACGTCACAATAATAAATTACAATTATTATCTTAAAATAACAGAACATTTAGTATGTTTAATGTTTATATACAATAAAATTGCAAAGTATTGTAACAAAATAAAATTGTATTATAGAAATTTAATTTAGAAAAATATTTTAGCAACAGTAAGCCTTAATGAATAACGTCGAGTGATCCCAATAATCATATGTATTAGTATTTGTATTTGGAAAGTCATCTAACTATATAATAAAACCTAACATAATAGTCCATTTGGAATTTTTAAGGGGGCCTTAGAAATTGTTCTAAAATGGAGCCTGGATTAAAATAGTCCGGGTCGCATCAAAATTTATGACAATATCACGATTTTATTCATCACATCATCAATCAGCACAAAATGTTAATATTCACCTGAACTCTCTTCTATTATTGCTCGTCGACAAATCGTGACAGATTTTTTAATTAATTCDAAGCTTTGTTCATAGTTTAAATCCAAGTGTTTTTGAAAGCCTTCAATACTCGCTTGGTATGTGTTGGTGGTCAGAAACTCCGCTCCGGCTGTAACACAAAAGTAGATTGCAGTTTATAATCGTGTGAATTTTGTATAATAACATACCTTTAATATAATCTYTGTGGCCTTTCACAACAGCTTCTTCATCATTAAAAAGCAAATTCGAACCCCAAAGCGGATGTTTCATAACGCTGTCATACTCCACATACGGCAAAATTCCACTGACGAAACTTCCATCCAAGAGGTACATTTTCGCATTGAGAAAAGTGAAATCCTGCATGTCGACGAATCACAGAAAACTGTGTGAAAAAAATGTTGTTGTTATAAGAKAAATACTTAACTGCGTGCGTTACATCGTTATATAAGATATTATATAATAATAATATATTCATAATATACAGTGAACGCCGCTTCTAAGACTCAAAATCGTCAGTTCGGACGTACGTAACATTAATAAAAATATCTGTTTTAAGATTCATTACTTTAGTTGTATCAATTGAATTTCACTCAATGGGCTTTTCCAAATTTTAAAAAAATTAGTGAAAAATGTAGACATATTTGATGAAATTTCGAAATAAATTAGTTCTTATAAAAAGTTATTTSTGTTTTAGTATTTTTAATTCATTCCTCATACAGGTTAAGTTAGGTTGTACCTATACGTACAACCATCGCTATCGCATTTCAGATAACCAAGGCTCTCATTTTAATAAGCAATACGAGACACAAATACCTACGTCAAAAGAGTTATTAACCAGTTAAAAGTTCTTTTTAAGCTTTTTCACTTAACTATAGTTCGTAATTCTCATATTATCTTAATAATTTAACTAGGAAGAATCTGTTGTACAAACTGATCTGTTATCAGTTGATAACTAAGATCTTAACAGTTAATTTAAAAATAATAATTTAAGTTAAAATCCTGTTTATGGTGTTTATACCATATACAGCTAGYTTAACATATATTATGGTGAGGAGGCAAGTGGGAATCCTTACCACGGGCCACATTGCCGCGGTAAGGACGTTCTTTATTTACAAATAAATTTAAAAAAKCGGGTAAATGGATGTCCCTCTGCTGTACAGTATAGTTTACAAGTAGTTTACTGTTATGGATGGTATTAAATTTTAATTCAATGATATAATATCATTGTATACGAAGAACGATTCTAAGTGGAGACGGTTTGTCAGTTTTTGGATATGTTATACTATATTAATTACCTATATTGTTATTGTTTCTGTTTTCTACCGCAATGTTTTGTGAACGAGACCCGAAGGCAGGAATAAAGTATATTTTTAATTTTTTAACTAATAGATTTTTGATTTTACTCGAAACTATTTTATATTTATATTTAAACGGAAATATTCATTTTGACGGACGTTTTTCTTAAGCCGCGTACACACTTGTAACATTAACTCGTAACATCCTTTGATGCGACTCAATTTACCGATAACTGGTGGAACGGTGTTACGGCGTTACAACGTAACAGAGTAAATGTTACAAGTGTGTATACACGGCTTTACGAACACATTACGAGCGAATGACTTGTTAGTGAACTGTATGATAACGCTATTGATAACAAAGACCGATTGTTGTTGTGCTTGAAATCAAAGAATTTCAAAAAAAAAAAAAATGTAAAATACAAAAGCCTAACCTACAAAATAAATTCCAAATTAATCAAATCAGATTCATTATGTACCTGACTAACTCATTCATAGTAGGTATAAACAATTTATTATAAAGTATTTATAAAWCATTAACGACCAGTGTTGAGACTATCTAGATAAATTTATCTAGATAATAATTTCTAGTATATTTATCTTATCTAGATAAATATTGTTTAAGTTTTATATTGCTAATCTGAGATAAAATATAAACGTATCTAGATAAATTTATCTATCGATAAATATTTGATCAGACAAACAATATTTTAAATTGTTATTAAATATTAAATTAATTAAATTAATAAAACTATAATGCTGAAGAGCATTCTATAATAATACTCATGAATCTAATTCGAAGAAAAAAACAATATATTAGAAATAAATGAAAATTTTCCAACGAAATCTCTAAATATAGGTTTTATTGTCAACGAGATAAGTGACAACGCATTCTTATCGATCATAAATACGAGTTTACTTATATAGTTATATATTAGAAGTAATATCATTAATTATAAATAGTATATTGCCGATCCAATAATTAATATTAATATATTATTTTATTACACAATCATTTACCTAAGTTTTTTTTTAACAATTATTATCAATATTTATCATTTAATAAAGTTTATTACATTAATTACTTTTAATGTTAAAATATTTTTATAAAGTTTACTGCCTAAATATCATTAATATTTTATTTAAGGTATGAAAAAGTATTTCATAGGATTATCAAATTCACTTATAAGTTATAAATGTTATAATATAGGTATATTCTTAATTATTGATG